TAGGTAACGCATTCCAGTGTTTCACCACCCTCCTAGTGAAATAGTTTTTCCTGATATCCAACCAATTTTGGGGGTTGGCTGCTCACATTTAGAGAACAGTCACAGGTAATCAGCAAATCCCCCTGCTGTGGAATGTCACTTGTGACAGGGAAATAGCCAACCTGCTTTCCAGAAAGTTTAAAGAAGGGTTGGTCTGACTAGAGGCAAAAAGTCCTTAATTGTACACAAATAACATGAGATAAGGCAATAGGACTCTGTTACTGTTAGTGTAACTACTGATAAAGTCATATTGTTAATTTCATGGGCCCATGAGACAATTTTATTTCTGTCTTTCTTGCTTTTATAGACTCTGGGAGCCTGCGGGAACATGCTGGGAGTGTGCATTTCATAGCTGCCAGACAAGGTCTGTCTCAATACGTTTTTCTGTGTTTTTATTTTAAGTAGTTCTTATTGCTGGCTGCCTAAAAGTAAAGAGAGTGTGAATTTACAGAGCAGGTTCAAACAGATTTGGAGAGTTCCTGGAATGTCACTTGAGCAGTACTATGGTCTATTGCCCTGGCTTGGAGGGACAGGCCAGTTGAAGGAGTAACAAGGAGAGGGCTTATTTTGCAGCACCAGACAGTCAGGCACTCTTATGCGTAGGCAGATCATCAGTCTCTTCAATCCCACTCCTGCTCCCCTCCCTGTCACACATACAGGCTCTCCCTTGCTCTCCCCAGGAAGAATCCCCCCTTTCTCAGCCCTTCTATCTTCTGCATATCACCAAAAAACCCCACACCTGCTGCCAGCCCCAGCACTCTGGCAACTGCGTGTGACTGTGCTATTTGCATTTCCCTAGGACAGTAGCATGTTGGAGAAATTACAGTAAATCAAGATAATTAATCAACAGGGAGTCGAGGATTGGGGGGGATGGAGGGGTGAGATTGCTTCCTTTCACATGGTACATGTATTGCTTAATTAGACTCAATCTGAGCTACAGGATTCCCTTGGTAGGTGTACAGTGGGAGACAGCTCTAGAAAAGGCAAGGGCGGGGGGAGATATTTCTTGCTCAAATAAATGTAATTCTGATTGTTCTACTCAGCACAAATGGCACCACGAGATTTCATATTTGCCTCAGTGACTGAAGGTCAAATTGCTGTTTAGAAGTTTAAAAAAAAAAATCATTTTTCCCCCTCTAACCACCAGATCTCTGAATGCAGCCTGGAAATGAGAGTCAAACTGGGCTCTTCCCTGCTTCCGCATCATCCTCTAAAAAGATTCTGTAATTGGATTTAAGGGCGTGCATACACCACAACTTCAGCTACCTTTGGGGACTCCCTTAGAACACAGTTGACCCCCAATCTAGTGAAAAATTCTCTTGAAGATCCATGAGGCAGAATCCACATCCACACTCTCCTAGAGCTGTGTTCATTCTGCAGTACTAATTCGAGTAAAATTTTATTTTTGTCGGTGAAGTGTGTGAACAGATATGACCTGGAATACACAGGAGAGCTGCTGAGTAAGACAATGGAATTTTGACTGTCATTTTTCTTTTAGTATAATAGCATTTTAATAATCATGAAAACTGCTGCATTTTAGTAGAACTTAGGTTTGGTGCATCTACAGACAGTAGATTTCATCCCCTAAACATTTGTATTTTTTTTTTTTTAGATGACAAAGCAGTAAATGTTATGCAAGGCATCTCTGAACTAAGCCAGGAACAACCTGCGAGAATCAGCAACCCAGAAAGCAAAACAGAGGTATGAGGCAATCGCCTAAATACTTTCCTGACTCTAATCAATAACTTGGAGAATTTGATTCTCAGCTTAAAAAGACAGTGCCAAGTTTCCACTGTTCTTAATACCTTCTTAGAACCCTGAGGTATTTTCTTTCTCTCCTTGTACCATTGGGCAACCATGGAATTCCCCCTCTTGTCTTCTTCCCTGTGATGTGAATGGAGTTTTGGTGGGAAAATTAACGCTGCTGTTTTTATTTAACCACTTCAGTTCCTAGAATTTCTTATACCAAAATATTTGTGTTGGTGCATCAGCAACATCAACTGATATCTGCACCGCTCTAGAAATGTTGCACTTTGGCACCAAAGGAGCACAAAGCGCTGACCCTGATTCTGTTCCCACTAAATTGGGAGTCACTCCATTATAAAGTCAATAGGGTTAAACTGATGTAACTGGGAGCAGAGTCAAGCCTGCTGTTGTTGAAGACTCCCCTGATAATTAGTAGCTCTTAACAATCTTGGGGATGAGTTGTAGATTTAAAGAGACATTATTTGGAGTCCAGATGACTTTTCAGTTTTTACCATAGTCACATTGGAGACTAAGGCCTTGGCTACACTTGGGAGTTACAGTGCAATAAAGAAGCCCCAGACGCCCTCGCTCACTCCCCGTCCACGCTGGCAAGGCATGTAGAGCGCTCTGTCTCCGCGGCTACAGCGCTGCTGGTACTCCACCTCAGCGAGAGGAATAACGTTTGCTGCACCTTGGCTACAACTCCCGGGTGTCAGCATGAACGAGGTGTTGGGTTACTGCGCTCTGATCGGCCTCTGGAAACGTCCCATAATCCCCTTACGTCAAGTGGCCACTTTTGTCATTGTTTTGAACTCCTGTAGGAATGCGGATATGTTCTTTCAAAGCTCTGTTTCTGACAGCCGGCATGCAAGCCCTTAGTGTGGAATGCTGTGTGTGAGAGAGAGAGAGAGAGAGAGGCGAGGGGAGAGAGGCGGGGTCTGAACTTACAAGACAGCATGCTGACATGCTATCTGCCCCGCAAAACCCCACTCTCTCTCCCCCCACATATACACAACACACTCAACTCCCCTACCCCCATTTGAAAAGCACGTTGCAGTCACTTGCATGCTGGGATAGCTGCCCATAATGCACCGCTGCAAGTGCCACAAATGTGGCCACGCCAGTGCACAAGCAGCTGTCAGTGTGGACAGACTGCAGCGCTTTCACTACTGCTCTGTCCGAAGGCTGGTTTAACTCTCAGCGCCCTACACCTGCAAGTGTAGCCACGCCCTAAGAGCCAGCCCTAGACATGTACCAAACTTGTGGCCTCGCTTGCCCCTGTTCTGTCAGTTTTCTTTCCTGGCACATGAGTAAAAACTGCGTATGACCCCCCACCCTGAGAGACAAATTTGGGGATACATGTGTCTGTGGCTTCACAGTGCCAAGGGTCCAAGACAGCCCTCCTGCTAGCTGTGGAAATAATCTATTCCTGTCCCCTCATGACAGTTATCCCCAACTCCCTACCAACTGTAGAATTCTGTTGCTAAGCCCTGCCCGAAGTGCTAACCTTTTCCCCCTCAGAGTCAAATGTGCTAACAAGTTACTGAAGTCTGCCTGGGGCTCCACATCTGTCTTCTCATACTGGATGACACTCCTGAGGCCTAAATTTTCAAAAGTAACTAGTGATTCTGGGTGTTTGTTTCAAACTTTTGGGTGCCTAACTTGATACACCTTAAAGAGGCCTGATTGTTAGAGAGTGAGTGTTCAGCATTTCCTGAAATAACCAACCTCTTTGAGGTTTCTCAAATTGAGAGCCTGAAAAATTGGAGCATCCAAAATCACTGCTCACTTTGAAAATCTTGATCTGACTCTGTTATGGGCTGAGTCCTTGCCTGACTAGTAATTATTGTAGACGGTACAAGAATACCACATCTAAATTTTGCTTGGTAGTCGTATCTTTTATCATACCTATTATATAAGCTGTAAAATAAAGACGTTTCATTTACTAGAAGTCTGTGGCTTTTAAACAAAGCTTAACAGCACTGTGTGGTTCATTTTTAGAGCAGTTATATGGTAAAGGAGTTTGGTCTCCCTTTTCTTCCCCTAATAGTATGTACCTCCCATTAATGCCAAATGGAAATATATGCACGTATCACAGAAGACAATATATTTCTTCAGGGGGGAGGGTACAGCAAAAGGGGCATCCCAAAAACTCTAGGCAGTACAGGAGATTGAAAACCCCAGGGGGGTTACAGAAATAGTAACCTCACAGGTGGATTGTATTCTTGAATCTAAAGGCAATAGATTGTCTTCTTAAAAATAAAATTCCTTCATAAAAGCTGTGAGCTTCTTTCTCCTTCCTGTCAACAGAAGCTGAAGACCTATAAAATGGATGGGCCACACAGAGGCTATTGCCTCATTATTAATAATTTTAGCTTTACTGGGACTCTTCAGAAGAGGAGAGGATCTAATAAAGATGCTGGTAAGTCACTTCTGGTTTAGGATCTGCTCTGCCTCTTCATGGGTTGTACTTCTAATGCCCGTATAGGTTTTATTTGCTCATATTTTAAGTACATAGTTATAAGCAGTGTACACTCATAGAAGTCAAATAATGCCACTTGTATCACGAGTGGGGGAAAAAATGAAATACACCATTGATTACTTGACAGGAGTGAGTTTGCATTGGCATCTTTATCAGTGCAACCAAACTGTGTAATTCCAAAAGGGTGTCCAAATTAAAACTTCTCCAGGACTTACTATAGCTAAACCGATGGTAAGAGAAATATGTTAGTTTTCTTAGAGCACTGAACCCATTATTGTATTAAATGTGACATCTCTTTAATTTAACTATTAATAGTTCTGTCTCTTATTTGCAGAGGCTTAATGTAAATTAAGCTAATTCACAGATCAAAAATGCCTTCAAGTTGTGATTTATCTCTTTGAGATGAGCCCAAGATATAGAGTTCTTCAGTTATTAACAATGCAAAGATTGTATTGTTATAATTTTATATAAGACATATTACTGAATGTGCATATTGCGATAGTGTTTAGAGGCCATCCAGGTTGGGGGCCCATTGTGTTACATGCTGTACAGACAAAAAGAAAATGACAGTTCCTACCCCAAAAACCATGTATGATTATACATCCAAGTCTTGGGGTGCTTTAGCCACATTGACTACAGTTGATCTATGCTAGTGCAAGTGAGAAAAATATCAGGCCCTTTAGCTCTTGTTATGTAGATAATTTTGTAATGGACTGTCCTTTGTGTTTGTTGTTTGTTGACTTACTCTCTAAATCACCAAATTCTGTAGTATTCCAGGGTCTCCATTCACTAGTATGAATGAGCAGGGTTCTACTTGGAGCAAACCCAATCTGAAATTCTGCAAAGAGTGCCCAATGTCTACCAAGAATCAAAGTTTTGCTCATCCAGTTGTGCTGGTTGCGCGCGCACACACACACATAAGTGCCTGTAGACCTCAGGCCTTGCTTTATGAAACTCTGGCCTGAAAAACTCAGGCATGTTTGAGCCTCATAATTGTGCTGGGTTTGAGTTCATTTATCCTGTTTGGTCTCAAATCTACTTTAGCGTGTGTGTTTGTTTGCAGGTGCCACTTTGTGTGAAGTCAGTTACTCTTCAGCTTAGCTTGCATAGTGATTTTATATTATGATTATATTATTCTCCAACCCTCCCCAGCTTTTATTTATTTATTTTTTTAATAACAGAGATGCTGGCGCAAGTGTTTACATGGCTTGGTCTGGATGTGAAGACTTATACTGATAAGACATCAGTAGAAATAAAAAATCTCATGCAGGAATGGCGGTCTTCGAAAGATCACAGAGACAGGGACTGCTTTGTGTGCTGTATTCTATCTCACGGAGAGTCGGGATTGGTCTATGGGATAGATGAACAAGAAGTAACAATCCGCACTATCATGTCCTACTTCACAGCCAGACAATGCCCACAGCTGGCTGAAAAACCCAAACTCTTTTTTATCCAGGCATGTCAAGGCAAAGAGATACAACAGGCTGTCTACATTGAAGCAGATGCACAGAATCCTGACTTGCTTCCCATACAGCAACTAGTCCTCCCTTCCGAAAGCATTCCGGAAGAAGCTGATTTCCTCCTTGGCATGGCCACAGTGGGTGGTTATGCATCTTTCCGCCACGTACAGCATGGTACTTGGTACATTCAAGCCCTCTGCAATAAGTTACAGCTCTTGGTACCAAGGTAATACTTCTTTGTAGCTTGAGGGTGAGACCTTACTGATAACATCGGGCTGTATACATAGCAGGTTATTGTGTGGCATGCAGGGGGAGAGTGGGGAGAAGCTGCAGCATGCCAGCTTGCTGTACAGTAACATCCCATGTAGACGCTGCTACATTGCAGTGAAAGTCCCGGAGTGCGGATTGGTGTACTACTGCTTGAAAGTGTAATATGCCAAGTGCTATTCCAGGATTTTACTGCACTGCAGCAGTGTCCACATGGGACTTTACTGCAGGCAAGATGGTGTGCTGCAGTTTTTGACCCTGGCTTCCTGTGCAGTAACTTGCCTTGTAACAAGCCCCTATACCCCAGTGGGTGAAGAAATGGGAGTGATGCTGAATCTTTGCTCACCAAAGGCAGGCCTAAGTCTAAGGGCTTGTCCACCCACAAACCTGCACTAGTTTTTTTTAATTGGTGTAAACTCCTACGTGGACACACATCCGTTTAAAACTGGTAATCTGTTTAGCTTGTCTCTGTAAACTTACATAAATGTTTGCAGTGCCAAGGCCTTAGGGATGATCTGAGGAGGCTGGGTTTTAGTTTTACCAAACCAAACTCAAAACTAAGGCTGCTTCAGGTCCAGGTTCTCTTTTTGAGTGGGTTCAGATGGATGTATTTGGTTCCACCCAAAACACAGACCATGCGGATTTTGGATCTGTTTTTATATGAATGGCCAAACTTAAGGGGGTGAGGGAAGTTTTGAATAAGACAGTCTGGCTTTGTCCCATCTGTTAGATACCTACACAGTGTCTTCTAGATGCTATGGTGGAATTATGGAAAACACTAGTCTTACAGTATGTGTTTCCTTGCTGCTGCGTGGTGTTCAGTTTGAGCCTGTGTTGTAGTAACATGCATGATGTGAACATGAGTCCAGCCATGAGGAACTCTGATTGGGTTTGCCTGCTGTAGAGAGTGGCAAGCACTGGGGGCCAAATTTCATCCCTTGTGTAACCTCACTGACTTGGATGGAGTTACAAGGGGGGAATCTGGCCCAAGAATGCAGATTTAGGTCATTACTTTTCTTTTTTATTTCATGACTGTATTAAGGAAGAAAAGAGAGAAAATGTGCTGTGGATAAACTACGGCATCAGAGGGTCTTTTGGTCCCAATTTTACGCACATACAAGAGACAAGATGTCAGAGAGAATGTAAGAATACTTGCAAAAGGGGGGTATTAGTAGTTTACCATAATCTACACCCAAAATCTTTAGTTCCATTTCCCTATAGCTCTTACCTCTCAGGCACATCCAGAATTTCCTAGGGAGATAGGCCCCCGCCTATACCCAATTCTCCCCCGTGTGCCTAGGGCTGGAAATGCTAAGGTCACTGCAAAAGTGAGAGGAGATGCTCCCAAGACTGGTGGGTAACACTGAAGTTAAACTCACCAACGAGTCTCAAACTCTGCTTCTGATCCTCCACTCTGTTTATCAAGAAGCTGAAAAAGAAATTACACAGCCCCCTTTATTGCATTCCAGTTTCCAGGCTCCCAATCAGCACATAGGTCCAGTACCGTGAGAAGTTATTTCAAAACTTTGTTCACCTATACAAAAGGTTCTTCTGACCCCAAAGGGTCAGCCACATTACAAGGTCAATAGGAGTCTGGCTCTTACCCAAAATACCACACTTCCAACCAATCCTTTAGTGTCTAAAACTACAGATTTATTATTACTCCTGAGGGAATTCTGCGCCAAAAATTAAAAATTGTGCCAAAAAAGTGTGCACACAATATTTTAAAATTTTGCAAATTTTATTTGTCAATAAATAAATGTGTAGGCTCTAGCATGGCAGTGGGGAGCACAGGCCATTGGCTGCACAGAGGTGAGAGATCACCCTGCGGGCCCCCCGTCCCCTGCCTGGGATATGGACTCGGCAGTAAAATTGCACCTGACCCTGACACAGCGCAAGGACCAGGCCTGCCCCAGAAATACCCTAGGGCCCTGCCCCTCCATACCAAGCACACTAGATGTAGGCAGGCAGGCTCAGCCCAGTAGGATCCAAGTGTGGAGGGGCTTAGTGTGGGGAGATCCAGGTGTGGGCGGCTTGGTGGGGGGTTTTGGTGGGGGGGAGATCTGGATGAACGGGTTCAGACACAATGGGACTCTGCAGGGGGGTCCGGGTGAAAGTAGTTGGGGCTCAGCTGGGGGTCTGGGTGTGGAGTGCTCAGCAGGAGGGGTCCAGGTGCTGGCTTGATGGGTTGCGGGTGCTGGCTTGGTGAGATTCAGTGGGGTGGGAATCTGGATGTGGGGGGCTAGTCAGGGTAGTCCAGATCCAGGTGGGATGAGGTTTGTTGGGGTCGGGGTTCAAGTGCAGGGGGTGGTCCCAATGCAGGGAGGTGGGGTCCCAATGCAGGGAGGTGGGGCTTGGTGGGGGGGTCTGGGTGTAGCGGGGCTTTGGATGCAGAGAGTGATGCTTGTTAGGGTGTGGGTTTGGGTTCGGGGGGGTCAGTGCGGGGGTCTGGGTGCAGGGGTTGATCTTGATATGAGGTGGGTCCAGATGCATGGGGATTCGGCAGACGGAAGAGCAGCTCCCTGTACACTGACCCCTGGCCCCCATGGCTGAGGAGGGATGGAAGCAGGAAGTGTGTGTGGGGGGGGAGCGATGCGGGGCTTCCTGCAGCCAGAGAGGTTTCTGGGGGTGAGTCTGACCCAGCCCTGGCTGCTCCTTGCAGAGGAAGAGGAAGTCCTGTCCTCCTCTGCCCAGCTGGGACTAGCAGCTTAGCCTGGCACAGGGTAGGAGCAACTGGCTGGGGTGTCCCCAGCCTCCCCCCCCCCAATGATTTACCTCTCCGCTAGCTGCCCCAAGTGCCGAAAACAATGCATCCGCGCTGCTTGGGAATGGCGCATGACTGCTCTTGCGGCTTCCCTTTGCTTCCCCATCAGAAAATAATTTTTCTGTGGGGAAGCACCGAAATCTGCTGTGGACATGAATTCTGTGCACATGCAGTGGCGTAGAATTCCCCCAGGAGCATATTATAAAGAAAAAAGAACAAGAAGAGAGTTGTTAAATGATAAAGCACTCAATTACATACAGAATCTTCAAAGTCCATCTATCAGGTTCTTAGCAGTATTGGTGAGTTTGCTGGCTTGAAAGTTCCTCTGGAACACATCCACAGCTTGGTTGGATGGGTCATTCAGTCCCTTTGTTCAGAGCTTCATTTGTAGAAAAGTTACTCCAGTGGTAAGAAGCATGAATGAAGACAAAATGGAGATGATGCAGTTGCCTTTTATATTCTTTTGCCATGAGGCTTGTACTTCCTGTGTCCCAAACACAAGCTTCACAGCACATGGAAAAGCCTTAGAGTACTTTGTCCATAGGTAGGTCCCTACATGACTCATCAGGTGTAGTCCCTGGTCTTTCAATGGGTTTATTGTACAGCCGATGTCCCTGGGTGGGCCATCAAGCAGGCTAGACAGTGCTGATGCCAGTCTGTCTGGGGGTGTCACTCAGATGCACAGCACAAGTTTGAAATACAGATATACCCTACATATCTATAACTCGTAACATAAACGTGATACAAACAAATAAGCAAGATTATCATACTTGGCAAATGGTAAGGTATCTGCGAAATGGTTATATGGAATATCTGGCATGACTCATTGCAATTTTACAAGTCTAGACCCCTCATACTGCCAGCAGCCACTGAAAGGACTGGTTAATTGGAGTCATTTGCTTGCAATGTTTTTCTTTTTTTTTCTCTCCCCTTGTGGCAGTTCATTCTGTCACACCACTATTGTTTGTGTGTGATTTTGTGTGTTAGGTGCATGGGACATTATTCTACTACCATTTTGAGGTCAATGAGAGAGTTGCTGTTGATTTCAGTGGGAGTAGGATTGTGACCTCCATAGTCTTGAAGCCTCATACTGAATTCAGAAAAGTGTTTAGTCTGGTTTAGTGTGTTTGTAGAATACTACTGCATGTTAAGAGTACAATGTTGCAGATATGTACTATTGGCATTGTTTCTGTGAATCAGGGTTAATGATAACACTCTGATTAATCAGAGAGTCCTGTGGCACCTTATAGACTAACAGATGTATTGGAGCTTTCGTGGGTGTCGGATGCATGTATTCACCCATGAAAACTCATGCTCCAATACGTCTGTTAGTCTATAAGGTGCCACAGGACTCTTTGCTGCTTTTACAGATCCAGACTAACACGGCTACCCCTCTGATACTTGATTAATCAGACATTCTGTCCTTTCTCTGGCTGTAGAGGTGAAGACATCTTGTCAATTCTTACTGAAGTCAATGAAGATGTGAGCAAACGTGCAGACAACTTGGGGAAAAAGAAACAGATGCCCCAGCCAGCCTACACCTTGAGGAAGAAACTGATATTCCCAGTGCCTAGAAGTCCACCCCCATCACAGCAGCAATAGAATTTTTTGTTTCTTTTCATTCACGATCCCATCTTGCGTTCGATACCATCCAGTACAGCCCTTGGATAAGCCAGCGCTCTTCTTATTAAATCAGGTGGATGGTAAATGATTACCATCCAGGATGAGGTCTTCCTGAAATTGCTAACACATGGAGCTAAAGGAGAGTACGATGGGCCAACTGCTCACAATGTCTGTTTGCGGAAATGATTGGTGGCGGTGGTGGTGGGGTTTGCTGGCAATGTGAATATATACAGATTTTTGCAAGCACTTGTAGGTTTCTGCAGGTGAAATAGGTGCTGCATCCATTACTGTGGACACAATAGGTGCACATGGCTTTCCATATCTACACCAGAGGGGTGTTAATGGTCTACTTTAAGCCCATTGTTCTTTTCTCTGTACATTAATGATTTGGAATCCTGCCAGTGAGCTCTCTTATCCTGTGGAATAGTCTCCCAAATCAGAATGAACAAGACATCAGCAAATGTAGTGTAGGGAGCTAATCCTACAATGGCAGGTGGACACTGGTCTATTCCCTCTCAAATTTAAATGACTTACACTCTTTGTGGAGCCACTAGATTCCTCATGTAAAGCATTTATTAATCCCACAGTGCATGCTGTTGCCTTAAAACTGGATGTTAATTTGGTATGTGGTTGGTTTAGCATTCCTTGTCCAACATCAAATAGTTCCAGAAGCACAAAATCTGTATTATTGCCTCCTGTAGGAAACCAGCTTTCTCATTGCCTTATCGTGGTTATGGTTCGACATGAAAGAGCTGCTGATTATCATTTATCTGTCAGATGGGGCATCTAACACTGCTGTGGACACAACAGGTTTTGGTTAGCTTTGTTTTTAAGCACAAAGGTCTACAGGGATTAATTTCTCCATTATTTAAAAAGACCACCACAAATGTGGACATATGAGAAATGGGTGAGAGCTAGGCTGGAACAAAACTCCTGTCTTTGGGGTCAGGGTGACTATATCCCCTGTTCCAATGAGAGTAGACTAGAGCCTGTGTAAAATCCACCTTGCAGGACTGTCCTGTGAGATTAGAAGTGAAATTCAGTGTATAGTAGTAAAATCTTCAGTGGTGCATCTCTTACCTGCAGGTCTTCTTACTTTATTGTTTCTTGTCCAGGGGTGTTAGTGTCCTCATGTGGTGACTAGGGTGTATGGCAACATAAATGGAAATTTAATTGGCAAAAATTCCACTTGTTGTTAAAACACCAACTTACATTTCTATAGCTGCTTCCATTTCAAAGTGCTTTGCCAACACTATCCATGCAGAGCTAGCTCCATCAACAAAATACAGCCACCTCTGGTTTAGAAGGCAGCAGCCAGCTTTGAATAGCAGTAGGATGGGTTTTGGGGAGAGGGAAACTTTTGGCCAAGAAGAACAGGGCAATTCCCTAGTTCCACAAAACATGCAGTGGGATTTTTAGCATGTACATACAGCAGACAAAGCCTCAATATTTTTTAGGGTTTCAATCTGAGACTCCTCCTATACAATAAACTGCATAAAACTCATCTACCTCAAAGGCAAGTAAGGTCAATTGGACCCTGCTGGGATATGAATCTGTGGTTTCAGAAATGCTAGCTATTTCAAACTTCATGCTCAGATAAATCATCCACTCCTGCATGTATAATAAAATGCTGCTATTTTAATAAAAGCTGGTAACATTTACTTTTCTTGGGAGTGGTGTTTTGGATTGCAAAAACTATGCTGCTGAAAAATAATCTTCCCCATTTCACCCAAAAGCAAGCCTTTGAAGTGAAGGATTACGGCTGGGATTTAAGAGGCCTGCGTTCAATTCCTGGTTTTGCCTCAGACTTCCTGTGTGACATTGGGCAAATCACTTTGTGCCTCAGTTCTCTGTCTATGAAATGGGGGGATAATAGCATTGCCCTACCCTCTGCTGGTATGGGGGGGGGGATAAATTAACATTTGTGAGGCGCTCAGATAGCTTCCTCCTCCCCCCCCCACCCACCCCAAAAAAAAGTATCTAAATATCCAGACAGATAGACCTGGATCTCAGGCCACAAAATTTAAAGAGAAGATACTTAGGAATAAGCAAGGACCCAATCCTGTAAAGTGCTGATGCCCCACAAATCCCTCTGAAGTAAAAGGGAATTGAAGGGATTCTCCACCTCTCAGGATTGGGTCTTTATTTGGTTCTTTCGAGGCAGAGACTTTATCTCTATCTGTAGGTTCCATGTACTCCAGGGCACTGTGGAATAAATAACCCATGCTGAAGCCATTTAGGAAGCTGGTGCACTCTGTCTCCTCAGGCTGCCTTAGCAGCTCCATCACACCTTCCTTACTAGCTTCTACACCCTGAGCAGCTGAGCTGAGGGAAAGCCAGCTTCAAAGCTCTTTCCACACTCTTCCCCACCCGTCATTTGCTTTGCTCTTCTGACTTGTCTTCCAAATGGTTTTTGGGGGGAGATTATCAGAACTTTTACCCAGGCTCTACTTGACTCTTCAGTTCTGATGATGAGTTCGTTATAGATAGAAAGGTCTCACAGGCTCCTTCACACTAACCACAAACACCAAAAGAGAAACATTTCCTAGTCAGAGATGGATCTGCTCTGTTGGTAGCTGGTGATCCTGCTAATGCCTTTGTTCCCTGGAAAATAGCCTTCCCTCTGGGACTCCTTTAGTTCCCTAGTCACCTTAATCATGACTAGCCATTCCTCTGGCCAAACAGGTATGGAGGGGGTTCTGTTTTCAGTGCTTCCTTTAATTAGCCAGAAGAATTGAGTATGTTACCGCCACTACGTTTCCAACCATGCTAGTATAGAGAGGAAGGGCCAGTAATTAAACCCTGGAACTGCATTGTGGTGGGGCACATAAGCCTATTACTGGGGTAGAAACTTAAATAATTTCTAAAAGATTGTATATTCCACCAAATTCATTCTCTCTTTCTTATGCCTGTAGCAGAGCTGCTTCTGATGGGTGTCTCCAGTTAGAACAACTTTTTTGGCCCAGTTTCGAGTTTGTGAGATGGTCTTCTGCAGGGGTCTCAAAGTCCTGGCCTGTAGCCATCTGCAGCCTGAGAACCTCCCCACTGCAGCCCGTGGCAACGTTTTTAAAAGTTCTTTCATCTGGCCCTCATGGTTGCCGGCTGAGGGGGTCAGGGGCGGAGCAGGCAGGAGACATTCACATGCCCCTCCCCGCATCGTTGCTCCATCCTGCTGCTCCTGGGACCCTCCCAGGGGTTGCACTCGGCAACGTGTCATTCACCTGGGGCAGCTCCACTCACTGCAAGTGGTTCCCTATCCCTGCTTCTTGTTGGCGGCCGAGGAGAGACACATGCAGCCACACTGCTGGCTGTCTCCTACAGGCACCGCCCCCGCAGCTCCCATTGGCTGGGGGAGAGGGACTGAGATACTATCATTAGTTGCCGGGCAGAGTCAGCCACGGAGGCAGCGTCACTAGTCGCTGGGCAAAGTCAAGGGAGCAAGGGAAAATGGTGGGAAACAGGCTGGGAGGTGGTGTGAACACCATTTTCAGTGACATTATTGGCCCGCTGGGAGGATTTGAGGACTGGCACTGGCCCTAAGGTAAATTGAGTTTGAGACCCCCGGTCTTCTGGGTGGTGGTCTGCTTTGGCTAAGCCTCTAGATTTTCTTAAAAGACTCTGTCCAAGTGACAGTAGCTCTTGGCAGTTTTCTTTTAATTGGAACATTGGCCACAGTGAATGTGACCCAAAATGTCTTGTCTGCTCCAAGATCATCCCATAATTCCATAAACTGGAGAGCTGCTCAGGTTCAATTATGGAAAGTATTGATTAGCAGCTGCACTTTTTAAATGTTCTTGCAGAATAGTTTCAGGTTCAAGTTGGGATTTGGGTGATAGCATCACCTAGCACTACAGTATCAGGAGGATAGGGGAAAGAAATTCTTAATTTGCACTATTAGGATTTTAGCAAATGGCCTTGCCCTTGCCAGACCTGAAGTATTAGAATACATTTGCTGAGGCAAAACAATGGCACTCTCTTTTTAACACTAAGCCAGTGGCACCCTGGCCAGTGGCATCTTCATTTGCAGGCTGTTGGGGCCTGCCTGTGAATTCTGATCTCTATAACAAGGTTTCTCAAACTTCAGTACATCATGACCCTCTTCTGACAACAAAAATTACGACATGACCCCAGCCTGAGCCCCAATACCCGGGGGCAGGGAGGAAGCGAAGACAAAGCTTGAGGGCTTCAGCCCTGGGCAGTGTGGCTCTGATTTCTGCTTCATCCCCAGAGTTCTGTGGGAGCCTGATTGCATCTCTATGGTTGTGCTAAATAGATAGGGAATACCTCCTTGCTCTGTGTCCTCTTTCTGGAGAGAGCTCTGCACAGTTATTTTCCAGTTAAAGTACCAAGGTGGTTAACAGTGGGCAGAAGGTCCTAAGTTGCCTCCCATCTTGATTTGTTTCCACAGGACTGTGCCCGTAGATTGGTAACTTCCATTTATTCTACTGCCACAATCTCCCCCCATGGTGAGGGCTTGTCTACACACACATGTTGCACCAGTATCATTGACACTGAGTTAGTTAAAGCCATACAGCTATTTCAGTGGGATGTATTCACACTGCTGTGCTTATGCCATAGTATGGCACAATCCTTATATGCCTGTAGCAGCACGCTGCACTGATGTGAGCAGTGCAGTGTGGGTGGGTATCCCAGAGTCCCTTGGACCACCTGAGCAAGGAAGTTCAGAAAGGTTGCCAGGCAGGTCAATAGAGCTCGCTCCAATAACCAACATTTCTCCCCAAGTTTCTTTTGTTAAGGACCCAAAAGGGAATGATGGGTGGAATAGCCTGTCCTCTCATTATTTTGTCCACCAATTAGACCTAGTTTGCAGCCCACTAATTTTAGTTCATTGATTTCCAGTTCCACGATGTTTTTGTTTACCAGGCACAATCTTCCCATCGTTATCTCCTGTTTGTAGTCCTTGAATAACAATGGCAATCCTTTTTGTTTGGACTAATTTGGTTTTTGTCTCTCTTTTGCACCTTTTTCCATCCATATTTGTCGTTACAGGTTATTGTGGTGTTAATCTTGGGGTTTTCTGCTGTTATCATTTGATGGTTATTGTCGGGCTTCCCATCGTTATCTCCTATTTGTTGTCTCACCTTTGGGGGTGCCTGCCTCACCGCTGAGGTCGTCAATGCTGCTAACATGTTTGGCATCGGATACAGTGGATGTTTTCTGATTGTCTCCTGGTCTTTCCAAGTCTCTCACTTTTTCTTGACCATCTGGACATTTGTGATGGCTTTCACACCTTATCTTTTCCTGATGCATGCATTCCTCATTCACATAAACAATCTTTTACAGAAACCTTCAGAAGTATACAGACAGCAGTATTTTATATTCAGCAGAATACATTGTAAATCAAGCCTTGCTAAATCTTATAACTAAAACAATTCACATTGGGGCTTCAGGCCCTCAACATTCCTCTAATCTCCTTAACGTAGACACCATACAAGATCCTGTCTCTTACTTTCTAAACCTTAAAACAAGAAATGTATATTTAACTAGAGTGCCTAATTTGTAATACATATAGGAAACCATAGTAGACATTATAACTTATCCTAAAACAAAAGGGTGACCATAATCAGTCATAAGGATTGTTCTGGTCTGTCATTCCTTTCTGCTATTCAAAAAGGATGGCTGGCAGGATGAAATCAAATCATACATTAATTCTCATAGTACAATTATAAAATCCTGCTCCTACACCTAGGCCTCACTGAACACTGACAAAGGCGTAACTGGTTTGCAGCTCACCTCTGTGTTAGAATTGTTAAAATAGGGATTAGATTTATAGAGCTATGTTTGGACTTTATGAAATGCATCAATTTCCCAGGTTATACGAAGTGTTCACGCTGTAACTATAAAAGCGCTTGCTATGAAACTGGAAACCCCCACAGTCAGGAGAGAAGCATTGCCAAGCGTGAAATACTGCCACAAGAGTTGTCATCTCCTGCCCAACAGAACAAGACCAATAGACACCAGACCAACCATTGTGGAATATCAGTGGATAAAAGACTTTGTTGATTGTTTCCCCCACACCCATGAAGTGTGGTGACGACGCAGGAAAGGAAACAGAACGCCAGGTCTGTGGTAGCCGAGAAGCCCCTCTACCTCCAGGAACTTTTCCTG